TTTCCTCTTGTCTCTGTCTCTTTCTGTCTGTGAAACTATTAATTTTCTTACATAAAATTTTCAGAACTCTGTCCAGAATCTCACTCAGTTCATAAGGGTGCAAGATGTTGAATCAGAAGGTCTTCGCAGATATTTCCTGAACTAACACCTCTATGCCTGTTTTCTCCTGGGGTATTTGATTGGATTCATGAGTTAGACACCTAATCTGTGTAGCAAACATTTGTCTAACCACACACTCTGCTTTGTCTCCAGGAAACACTACCTACGTAGGTTAAGAATTATCCAAATCACCAAATAGTGGTTCTAGTACTATTAACAATTTCTTCATTTTTCTTTCCCAAGCACCATAGAGAAATTTGTCTCCACCTTCCACACCTTACTTAGAAAATATCTCAGGCAAATATCTCAGCTTGAGACTGGGCATGGTGGTGTGTCCCCACAATCCCGCACTTGGGAGGCTATAAACAGGAGAAACACTACAAGTCCAATCTAACAGTGAGACCCTGAACACACTGTAGACCCTTCCCTAAAATACAGGGGGGAAAAAATCCCAGCCTGTTAGTTTAAATATTCTGGTTTGTAATCAACAGGAGAATAAAACTCAACAACTCAACCAACTTCTCTGCCAATTTATAAAAAACATTTAAATACTTCTTTTTTTCCAGAGTCCAATAACATGTTTCTCGCTTTCTTATGAGAAAGCACCTGAAGCTCCAACATACTTAACATTACAAGGAGCATCTCGCCCAGATCCACTCTAGGACGCATGAGAACTAACTCAGTGGCAGGCCCTGGGACAGCACACTGACTGGTCTGTCATTTGTCACTCATGCAGTATTCTGAGCTGGAGCAATCACTAGCGGAATCCTTCTTTTTCTCCTGGTGCACATAACAGAATGGTTTCCCAAAACAAATTTGTGCTTTATCATTTTCTGAATGAAAAATTTCTGCCTTTTTCTCCCCACCAGAGCCACAAACTAAAAAGGAAACAAAACCAGGTAAACATATTGTTATTTTTAAATCGTGTCAGTGAGGACATCACCTTTGTTTTCAAACTGAAAGAGCTCCAGCTCTAGCCGTGGGCTAAGCAGAGCCTCCTAATACAGAGTGTTCCTCAGTATTTCTTCACTGTAGGGCTCAAGATAATTTTGTAGACCTGGATCGCGTGAAATATCTGAATTGTGGGGTTAAACAAAACTCATCAGAAACTCCAAGGTTTAGAACATATCTTCAGGGTTTTTTAAAGACATGGATGATGGCTCTGAATCTGTGCTAGAGACACAAGCTGGGGCAGCAGGAGTCCATCACACTCACGCTGTGGGCTGTGCCGCACTAGCTCCACATCTTTCCTTCCGTGGTGTCGCTACCAAAGACCCACACATGGTGCATATTGTTTTTGCTCAATGTCTGCAGAAAGAGCCCAGCAGAACAAGTTGAGAACCTTAGCTACATGTGAAGGATATGAACTTAAACTTATCAAGCTTGCAGCTTGGGTTCTGCCATGCATCTGATTTATTTCAACCCCTGGGTTACTGTACTAAGAAATCATTTCAGACTCTGTCTTTTATTAAAGGTAACATTGGCTTAAAAATAGGATGAACTTTCCAGTGCATATATGGTGTTTAACACTTAAATCCTAGCTCTGATACCAACTGCATGTGGCCTCAGGTCAAGTTTTGAAACCCTCACACTCAACACAAGTTATTCCTTCACTATTAAAAAAAAAAAAAAAAAAAGGCCAGGGAGATAGCTCAGTGGAATAAGTGCTTGCCTGGCAAGCACAAGGTCCTGAGTTCAATCCCTGGTTCCACCAAAAAATAAAAAAATAAAAATAAATAAAATAAAGATCTTCAGGATCAATAAATTCAAGCCTCCAAATCTTGCTTTATACAAAACACTAACTCACCCCTTTAATTCTCAGCAAACTAATGTGCAATTACTCATAACTCAATTGTAGTTGCTCTTGTAAGTAACATATTTGCAATGCAAAAAGGTTATAAATACCTACATAGTACTTTGAGATTTATTTTCCTGATGACATTTACTACCACAGCTATATTTTACTACATACACACATTGTTTTTAAACCAGAAGGCCAATTACATTTAAAGCTAGTTTTGTTTAGTGACTGGCTAAACTTTTATTTGTTATTGTTGATTATTACATTTTGGTTGTGTAAATAAACTCAGTATATGATTTATTTATCTTTTTAGCTTCTTCTGAAAAAACACAAATACACAGTACGTATATTCATTTAGTTTATAATGCTTTTTATGAAATCTTCTATAAAAAATATTGATATCTCTCTAAAATCATGCACTTCAACCAATGGTTTTATATTCACACTTTATTGGAGCCTGACTGGCGCAGATTGCAAATGCACAAGTGTAAATAAGAATTCTTTGTATGTTAATTCATGAACCAAAATCTTTGTTTTTCATATGAAATAAGATGATATAAAAAATTAGGATTATTTTTTCTCCACAAGGAGAAAAAACTGTTATTTTCTATTTTATAAAACACTGGTCTAATTTATTTTTTTAAAAAATGATTGCATCCTAACTTATAAAAGCTTTTAAATGCCTAAAATGGTTGTCATTATTTTCAGAGCAAGACGTAATGAAACCAGAAAGGACTACTTCTCAGGGTAAACCAGGTATTCGGCACGTGGTATCTGAGGAATCAGGTTCTCTCTGTGTTCTGGTGTCAGCAGACGCCACAGCGCAGTCATCTCCGAAGCTGTAGGGGCCGCTCAGGTCGGGACCCATCAGTCAGTCGTTCCCGTCATTCTCTGCGCTGTTATCTGACCAGGTTTCCCATCGTTCTTTACGCTGAGATCTGGCCAGGCTTCCCGTCATTCTCTGCGCTGGGATCTGGCCAGGCTTCCTGTCATTCTCTGCGCTGGGGTCTGGCCAGGCTTCCTGTCATTCTCTGCGCTGGGATCTGTCCGGGCAGTTAAAGCGACACACCTCGGCAGCCCTCCCCAGGGGAAGTTAGCTTAGCACAGAGATGGCAGCACCACCTTCAAGCTATATCGATCCATGGATTTTCTGTTCCCTGCGTGGGGCAAGACATTCTCAGGAAACTTGTAATTCAGATTGCTTCTTTCCAACATAATCACCTCAGGCCCCGGAAGTTCATTCCTCCGTATGAATACCTCAGAAGTGGATTTCCTTAGGGCCACTGTGATAAGGTCTTTGCATTGACGTGAGTCCCCGGTTTCTAAGAGAAAAGAAAAGGATGCACTGCACCTCCATGTTCATAGCTTAAGAAATTGGGGTTCTTCAACTAATCCTGGGCTCCTGCCAGGCTACCTGATAAGAAAGTTTCAAAATTGCTTGTTCCTATTTCAATAATGAAAATGGAATCAGTAGTTCAGACACCCCTCTGTGTAGCTAAGTTCAGTTCCATTTGTTGGGCAGGTCAGGGCAAGTGAAAGAGCTAAGCCTCCAAAGCAAGCAGGTGGCAGCGGTGTCTTGGCTGGACACACTCTCGTTGTGGTCCCATTCATTTGAGGTAGACGATACATCTGCTGTTTTACTGAGAAAACTGACAAGCGTTTCTTGATGTTGTTGCTATTTCAGAACTAGTTCAAAATATCTAGGTTAAGATATGTCACCATTTTGTACTGATACATGACAGTTCCCACTTGGTTAACTTTTTTTTCTGTCATTTAGAAGAAAAAGTTCTCAAGCAGGTAAAAGCTGTTGCAGTAGAAAAAACAGGTAAATAAAACATTTATTTCTTATTTTACATATTTATTTATGTTGTATAAGTGCACACATACTTCCTGAAGCACGTAGATTTCAATGCCACAAATTTTTGAATTTTTAGAAACAAAGATATATTCTGTAAAGTTTTTTAATTAAAGATAATAAAAACTAGAGTGCTATAGAAATCATTTTAAAGTGTGATGAACCTAAATGTGTATGTAATTCATAAGAAAATTTATAAAATACACTACTCATCATGCATGCTTGGGTGCCTAATATTATTTTCAAGCCATGTGTCGTCAAATATTAAAAACATAAATATGAAACTTCCTTTAGTTTCTAAATTACATGAGCTAGTTTCCTTTTATGAGAGTACTAGAGAGTTACATATTTATACATAATTTTAAAAATCTGCCTTAAAATACGCTAAGTAGACCACATAGCA